CGTGACAGGTGCAATAACAACAGAACAAGCACTAGATATAGCGGGCGAACTAGATGACGAACAGCTACATCTACTAGTTGAAGAAACTTTGTATGTTAATAGCGCACGAAGGGTCGTTGTCGTAACAGGTACTACAGATATGTACCCGAGGTAGTTTTAGGTTGCAGTTTAGTATTATGTTTATATTTTTATATGAGGTATGTTTAGTGTTAGGGTTAGGGTACACTTCTGTAGTACAACTCTGGTACACTTTGTGTATACATATATGTACCTCGGGTACATATCTGTAGTACCTGTTACGACAACGACCCCTTGAGCGTTAATAGCTCATAATAGTCATGATATTATTATTATATAATTATTATTATTAATAGGCAGTAGGGCCTATAATAAATTAATATTAATAATAAGTAGGCCTAGGCCTATTACTTACTATTAGTATTAGTAATAGTATTAAGTGTAAGTCATTGTAAGTGTAAGTAAGTAGTACTAAGTCAGTAAGTGTAGGGCCTACTGTAGACAGTCTCTGAATCTGTAGTAACCTAATAATAGTATAAATATAAAATTAAAATAGTAATATAAAAATTTAACAGGGCCTAAATAATAATTAAATTATAAATATCAATATTATAATTTTTGTTGTTTCCGTCATTCTATGAATAGTACTATTACTAGGACTATGAGGTTTCGGTTTAGCTCTACTGCTGTACTAACCCATTTGCTCCCGCTACAGCCGGCTACAGTACAGAGTTCTAGACTGGCACAGGTATCCAGTAGGCAGTACCCCTGTAACGAGAGCGAAGGGGCTACACCGGTAGAGGCTGAGCCTGAGGTTATGACAATGGCCTGAATGGGGTTAATAATCACAGTGAATGAACAATATGATAATTAACCCCTTTCAGGTCATTGTCATAAACTCATAACCTCAGGGTCAGCTAGCCTCTAGCTCTACCGGTGTAGCCATATCACCGTCCAGTCTAGATATTCCAATAAGGTCCAGCCTAGACATACAGCAGTGGGTTATATGTTATTATATCCATCGTGGTGCAGCGCTGGTGCCATGGTGGCCTGGTTGAGTCTACTTAATTATGAGACCACAAGCTCCAAACTTTGATGAAAGGCTTATTCCACCCCCATCCTAGCATAGCTGTTGCATCTTTGAGCAGGGAAATTTATTATTTAATGTCCCAATTCATTCTTATAGCTGATGCCTGCTGTCAAAAGTGGTTCAGAGCATTGGGGGTAGGGTTAACCACCTCATAGCTAGGCTAACCAGGTGCAAGTAAGGTTTGTATGGTAGATATATAACTTGCTATTAGTAAGGCTGAGAGGGTTTATGTCCCCCAGGGTACTGCCGGAACGTACCCTGGTACTATCTAATATGCCGGACCGTACCTCGCCTACTCCACTAACGAGTCTAGGAAGCACCTACGCCTACTCCCTAACCCTAATCCTAACCATATCAGATAGTTACCAGGGTACGTTCCGGTATACCGGACCGTACTCAGGGTACGTTCCGGCAGTACCCTGGGGGACATAGACTCTATGAGCATTAGTAAGGGTTCAGTAGCCTGAAAACATTTTTATTTCTAAGGCGTACTACTAATGCATACCTTTTTCATGTGTCCTTTACTCAAACACAGTAGTATTCATAATCGCATGAGTGAATAAAAAAAACATTTGTACTTATTCACTTTTGATAATAGTAATAACTAGTACATAAACCATAATAAAAATGTTTTTCAGAGTACTTTAATTTCACCAAGAATAAGAGCTGTTCTAATCGTTTTATTACAATGTACAGATATATTGCATAATGTGATTTGCTAATTATAACCCATTTGACATTTTCAGAGTTAGCAATGCATTCCTTGCACAAGAGACTGCTATGTTGGAATGGTTCTGCAGTCGTATTGATCCTAAGGACTTGCAGAAAGCAACAGCTACTACAGTGCAGCTTACAAATTCTTCAGCATCAACATCAATGCAGGATGTGCGAGGAGGTAACAGAAAGCGGTCAAAGTCAAGGTCTTCTTCTATAGAAAAGGTGTGTTTGACATGTGTTCAATTTCAGTTGAATGTAAACAAGTTGAATATTATAATTTTATACAGTTGAAGTAATGATAATTATGAGGTGATATATTATCTCCTATCTAATTATTCTCTACCATGAATTCGTTTCAGTCTCATTAGAAATGCACTCAATATAAAAACAACCATTAATAATTATATAAATTGTAGCATAACATTTAATTTACTTCGTGCATAATTTGATCTTATTTATTCTATATACACATGCTTAAAGTTGAAATAGTATGAATAAATCGTAATATGAATAAAAATTATGCTAATGACTAGCAAAGTATGTTTCTTTTAGCTTGAAGGAATCCACCTTTTTACAGCATATATTTAGCCCTATCTTACATTAAATGTTATCTTGCGAACCCTGAATGTTAGCTGTGTGATATTGCATTTTATCCTACTTTTCAGTTGATAAAGTAATTGATAGCTAAGTATGAAATTAGTGCATTGACGAAACCTCACCTTGGAAAGGAAACCATCAGGTCTTCGTTAATATACGTTTTCTATCTAGATCCTGCGGTTTGCCGAAAAATTTCGAGGCAAAATAAGAAAGCAGGTAGAGCCAGAGGTATTGTCTAGACTGCTATTATCTCAGATGGCCACCTGCACTTCTGATACTGTCACTGCTGTGTGCACTATATTACCTGTTGGTGCACTCAGTAATTACTGATTTCAACTGTTATATTTTCAGAATTTATTTGCAAGGCTTGTCACAAATACGATTTGTGTGAGAAGAGCATTTTTTTTCGTTTGCTGTGGATTTATCTTGAAATTGTGATACTATAATACTGTAGTACGGTGTTTTAGCTTGGAGATGGAGACATGGGGCATTTGGCACATTACTCATGCAAATGTTCAGCGACGGCCGGCGATTAGACCCAGAAGACATTAGCTACATACTTAATAAGAGCAGACATAATTCAGCGTGGACAGAATGCATTTCAGAATGGTACGAACGCATTAACTTCAACAAGAATGCGACGCGGTTTATCAAACGGCCATCATTAAGCTGGCAACGTCGACGGTGGTCGACGCTCCTTTTTACGTTAGCCGCGACCGGTCGTTATATCCACGACCCGCGCCATAAATTAGTTGAAGGCTAAACAGGTCGCGACGACGAGGCGGACGGTTTAAAAAGGAGGGGTTTTGGTGACAACGGGAGAGACGTCGGCATCCTCTAACGAGTACGCGCACACTGTTTGGACTGTGCTTGTGCTGTTCATCCGTGTCTATAATAAAACCGTACTTGCCACCGCTTACACAACTGTTATGTCTATTGTCTACGTACCATATATTCCACACTACAATACCAACCTTCAAACATAGAAATTGGTATCATAATTAAAAGATGCCATACAAATCAAGAGTTTTTTGTGAATCAGCACATTTAATTAATGCACGTTTTATTTTTGTATTTCACTGATTGTGACTATTTTACATGTTATTTGGTCAAACTATGCATCACTCCTAGATCAGTAAAACATAATCACATTGTATACTAGTTATGTATTTACTATTATGTTTGTTAGCTAGGTAATTACCACCACCTTAGTGGTATATATAGGCCTGTTTATTATAACCCCTTTCTAGGTGCTGCTGATGTGTGCCTGTGACTATAGGGGATCGAACTGTGTTTTTCAGTTCCAGGTTTGATATGGGCAAGTAAATTGGACCTAGTATGTTTTTGATGGGGAAACTCAACTAGAAAGAGAGATATAATTGAGAAAGATAGGTGTATGCATGACACTATTCACGATATCATGCTATAATAGTGTGGTTCTACACTTGAGGGTTTTCTTCTGTACATCACATGTCGGTATCCACCCGTAGGTACTCAAGTTGTTGCCAGAGCAAAAGTGTGACATTGCTCAAGCTCAGATAGAGGAGATTCGAGAAGCACTGGTGAACCTGCAGAGTGATTCAGAGAAAATCCTCAGCAACCACAAGGTAGAAACTGCTTGATTAGCTTTTATTCGCATACAATTATCTTTGTCGTTTGTGTAGAGTTTGTAGTTTATTTTAATGAACCTATTAAATTTCAGTGTGCTAAGACAGATTTATGAGACCTTGCACATCTAACCACGTGCTATAATAACTTGCTTTAATGTTATTCTGCATCATTGCTTGTCTATAGTGCACTCTGGTTTCATTGTTGCTAGCACGGATAATAATTTACATGATCATCTAGATTTGTAAGTATCTATGACAACTTCACCATTGTGGGATGGATGTAATGTTATCACTATCATAACAGAAGAAAAGTACGAAGTGTGGAAGAAAGTGAGTAAGTGAGTAGTGAACAAAACGAGAGAAATGGTTTCAGTGTTAAGAACTAGAGGAGCTGTGTAACAGTTTTGCTTTGCTGTTCTAGAACCAATGCTTCTTTACATGCGTGGGTATTGTGTTAGCACAAGCGTAAATAAATTACGCTAATCATTGCTTTTGCCTACATTACTAGGCTGTCATGGAGGAGGCAGAAATGCGATCATGTGAGCTGAAAAAGTCCGAATACGAGTTCGAACGAGACATCATCAAGGGTGCCGTAAATCCGAGGAGTGGGAAAATCATTTCAGAAAAAATAGTGCGACATTTTGAGGACAAGATGAAATCCCGGGTGAGAACCACATTGCCATATCAACTGATATAAAAGATGGTTATACCTTAAATTTTACACATGCACCTGACCATATAGCTATACCCAAGAGTGTACTGTATCAACAGAAACATTTAAACAATATATTTATGTGTATAACTACTGCGTAAACAGGTAGCTTGTTTTATTCTCTAACTGAGGGCACGGTAGCATTGTAGATGTATGAAAGCAATGCAATCTACTGATGGAGTTCCCTTGTGCACAGGCCCTTCCAGAGTAGCTGTCCCATATCGGATCCTCATTGCTCCTCATCACCTTAACATCGGTCAGCATGAATGCAGCAGGTTTATGAAGTGCAGCAGCTTGTGTGGGGTGTTCAAATGCCAGTGTCAGTAACTCACTGTTTATCTGCTTTCAGGATGGCTTGATAGAGAAATTACGATTGAAGAACTCTACTTTGAAAGTTCAATTGCGGAAACTCCGCCTACAGTTGAAACAGGTAAGATGATTCATGTTTGGAAGCAAGTTAGTTAAAGATAGGATAATTGCCTCCTGCATGGTATGCATACATACATGTTAGTCAAAAACAAAAACAAACAAACAAAAACCGTTCTATGGGTAGATCCACCCAAGATTAGAATCACAGCAACATTTCATTCTCATTTAAATTTTTGTAGAAAAGATAATAGTCGATATTGTGTCACGCGTAACACTCGTATTGTAACGTATGAAAGCCAGCACGACAAACAATTAAATCTGCAACCTGCTCTCCTGCTTTATGTTAGAGAGTTAATTCCAGTCTTTTACTCCAGTCGGGGTGGAGAGACGACTAACTAATGGCTCTCTATGTGCGAGTAGGAGGCATAGGTTGTGAATAATTGGCAGTAGGCCTACTGTGCCTATCACAGTTCCCCCCAAGAAATTTCAGAAGACATATTGGACAATTGGGCAATTCGTCCCTGATTACTAATTGGAGTTAATTACACGTGTCACAAGCAGCTGCAATACACAGATCAGTTCGAGGATATATATACATCAGGCTGTGGAAACAAAGCGTGACTGTGTTAGGACTGTCAAAAGGAAATGCAGCTGCATGGAAATGAAAGGCATGTCGATTAGGCAATTAACGCATGTCGCAGAATTGATGAGACGTCTCAAATTAGCGTCAGCTCTGGACGGCCTCAACATTAGTGTTAAAGTCTTGGGAAGATCACTGTGTATAGTGAGATTTTTGTTCGTGCGCAGAAAGAAGAGATGGGAGAGGTGTTGCACGAGGTTGACTTCCACCAGCTGAAGATCGAGAACAGCCAGTATCTAGAGAAGATCGACGAACGCAACCAGGAGCTGTTGCAGCTGAAGATGGTTGCCGGCAACACTATGCAGATTCTCAGCCTGCATAAGGTGGGGGACGTGCGTGTGATCACGCAAGCATTAGGGCCAGTCTCACACATCACAATGAGTTACCGAACCTAGAAGAAATGGATGGACAGTGTTATTGTGCAGCGTTGTTAGTAGATGGTAGAAGAAATAGACATATATATATATCAGATAGATATGTGCAGTAAGGGTAATATGTTATCATTAGACGGTAAGCGGGTCAAGGGAACATTAATCATAATTAGAAAAGATAATGTTATTAGTAGATAGCAGGTGACGGATATTCACATATGGTGTTATTGGCAGATAGTGGGCATGCAGGAGGTAAGAATACCAATTTTCACTGCTGCAGTTGAGGTTTTACAATCTCATCAGTTATCAAACTTGTTTCAAATTCATAAATATTTTCATTTGTCAGTTCATCGACTGTAATTGCGCAGTCTTTTGCTATTAATGTGTTTATACAAGTGTCAGCTCGTATCTTGCTTTATTCGTTACAGAAAAAACTGCAAACACTAATGAAGGAGGCAGAAAGCTTAGCTGCTGAAATCGACTCCAGAAATGAACTGCTGAAGAAAATCATTTCCGAGTCATCGATAGTGCAAAAGGTGGGAAACACTCAGATAAGGCAGTTTGATCTGCAACGTCATTAAGATGTGAACCACTTGTATTAGGCAGACACATATATATAATTACATATGTACAGTTGTGGCGCGATTGTACATTCATACGTACATCCACAATTACGTGTGGGCTTTTCTTTTACATCTACACATAGCATTTTTATTTGCAATAGTGTGAATTCGTGTTCTCCTGTTGTGGCAGGAGAAGGAGAAGGCAAATATTGTTAACCAGCGTCTCACCGAGCAGCTGTCGAACTACAGAGTTCCGGAAACACTGGACTACGTCAATGAGAAGGCTCGACTCTACGAACTGCGAAAGTCTGTGCAGAGTTGGAAGCGAAAGGTGGAAATAGCTGAGGTAAGTTACTATGTGTGGTTGCCGTATGTCGCCAGGCTATTGTTGGTTCACCGCTGACAACAACGTTTGTTTGTTGTTGGCCAAAAAACTTGGCAAAATGTTAGTGCCAAACCAAAAGCCTGAGACAGGAATTGAGAGGGTATATTATATACGGACAATCATTCTCGTCAACAGTATGCTTGCATAGCCCTTACTTTCCAGATGGCATTGGGAGGGCTGAAGAGGAACTGGCAGCAACTAAAGGCAGGATTGGCCACTGACGTAGCTGTAAAACAGCACAGCAAACCACTCTCTGGTTCCGTGCAGGTGCTGTGAATATATGCACCCTCACAGGAGCAGAGTACAATGCAAGGCAATCCACAGTAGAACTGAATGGCAACGTGTAAATATTTATCCGACCTGTATATGTGATAAAACAAATATGTCTGATCACTAGAAGTGTGCACTGTGTCTGTGAGTAGAAAGGTGTGAATAAACTTCAATAATTTATGTCAGCACTGTGAAACACATTTCATGTATGTAAATGGTCTCATCTAGAACACAGTTTCACACTTTAGTTTATTTTTTCACTGGAGCATAAACTTAGTGTTGCTAACAATTTCTAGTGCTATATATATATATAATAATAATAATAATAATAATAATAATGTTAGCATTTTAACCATGTCCACCATATATTGTTTACATTAATACATATATAAATATAGAATATATATAACAAATGTATGATTTATATATATCCAGTATTACATATTGCCATGCTTGTGCACAGGGACCTGAGGCCGGAAAAAAGAAAAAAGTGTTATATATATAAAGAGAAGCTTTATATATATAAGCTTATATTATAAGCTTATATAGAGAAGCTTTATATATATAAGAGGTTTGAACGTCCTATTTTGGTGCACGCCAGTCGATCTACTTTCGAGCCACGTCCACTTTTTGGCAAAAATGGAAATGGCCATAAGTCAGTTCTAGTTCAACGGATTTTGCTCATTTCTAGTATGTGAATGAATAAGGACTGGCCCCAAAACATATCACACAGGTTTTGATATTTTTTTTAAATTATGCAAATTACGTAGATTTTGGCAATTTCACTATGCATTTTTCAGTGTCTGCCTACGGTCAACGATAACTCAAGAACCGTTTGACCCACATGTTTTAAATTGAATACAGTTGTTACTCCTATTACTCCTGTTACTCCTATATGAGAGAGATTTGAACTTCCTATTTTGGAGCACGCCAGTCGACCTACTTTCGAGCCACGCTCACTTTTTGGCAAAAATGGAAATGGCCATCTAAATTCATTCGATTTTGTTAAATTTTGGTATGTGAATATGTAAGGTATATGGCTCTATAGTGTCAGCATACTTGGACGGCAGCCTGTTTATAGAAGCACCTGTGTCTATTTGAAACGCCACTTGATTATTGCCGACCATCGGCACTTCGCCATCTTCTTAGCTGGGGTCACCTTTGTGACGGTTTGCCATTTTCCTTGAGACCGGAGGTTATTGCACCACTCGTCCTCTGAGCCGTCAGTCCCATTATCTTCTGCATGGTCTTCATTGAGCTGATTCACCTGACCTCGGCGGGTCTTGAATCGCCCTTGTGCCCTCGGTCTCCGTCGTCTGTTCGCCATATAGTGCTGGTTTGCTGGCGGGTCTGGGCATCTTGACTGGAAGTGATTTTGCTTGCCGCAGTTTCAGCGTGGCATGCTTACAGAAGGTGCGCATCAAAAATTGCACCCTCACTACTTCAACGTGGTGGCATTAAGCATTTAATCTGGAGTGTGGCATATGCCTACAGAAGGTGCGCATCAAAAATTGCACCCTCACTACTTCAACGTGGTGGCATTAAGCATTTAATCTGGAGTGTGGCATATGCCTACAGAAGGTGCGCATCAAAAATTGCACCCTCACTACTTCAACGTGGTGGCATTAAGCATTTAATCTGGAGTGTGGCATATGCCTACAGAAGGTGCGCATCAAAAATTGCACCCTCACTACTTCAACGTGGTGGCATTAAGCATTTAATCTGGAGTGTGGCATATGCGTACCTCGCCTACTCCACTTCAACGAGTCGTAGGCGTCGCCTACGCCTACTCCCTAACCCTAACCCATAATCCTAACCCTACCATATCAAATATGTGACCAGGGTACGTTCCGATATACCAGACCGCACAGGTACCAGGTACGTATTCCTGCCAGTACCCTGGCGACATTTAGACCCTATGAGCATGACCTTATGAGTACCATAATACTTACTTATATTATTTATTACTTTACATGTTACTATACTCTATAGTGACAAGATTCAGAGATAATTTATAGTGCTAAACATTTTTGGGCTAAAATTTAATAATTAATACGAATATTTTAATTCAAGATGCGAAAAAACCCAGTCACTTATAAGCAGTTAATCTTGTTAACAGTATAATATAAGTATCGAGTTATACCTGTGTAACAGTATTAATTGCACGGCGTATGAGCGAATGGACCGTATATAATATGTGCGTCATCGAAGTCAGCCATACCTTAGCTCTAGTAACTATAGCCGCTTACATTCTAAAAACTCTTTTTTTTTGGCGCGCCTGGGCTATAGACCGACCCATGGGGCATGCCGCATGGTACCAAAAACTTATCCCTGCATTATACCGACTATAAAACGTCTTTGGTAGGCAATTAATGCCTTCTGTATCCGAAGTGAATTGTCTTAAGTTATAGCCGATACTAAAATTGACTTCCATAAACTATCGGTTTGCAATGGTTATACTGCGCGTATTTCTTGTGAACAAACATTGATTTTGCGAACTGTCAAACGGCCATTTCTGGCGGCGCTGCAGCAGCGCAGTCCAGCGGGAACTATGTATTTGCGTTGGAGGGGTGGGCGGGTTGGCGGTGGTTGGTGGCAAACATTGTGTGTCAAGGTAACAATTTAGCCGATCAAAAGAGATTCGTTAATATTACTATTAGTTTTGTTCATGAAAGAATGAACAAATTTACTTTATTAATTTGTTACTTTGACAACAACAGATGTTTGTTGTCTGCACAACCAACATTAACCGCAACACACCCCTCCAATGCGGAAATACATAGTTCCCGCTGAACTGGCTGCCGAGATAAGTTGGTCCAGTCGGCCATGCCCCATAGGGTCGGTCTATAGTCCCAGCCGGCGCCCAGTTAACTGGTAAGCGCGAATAGCTACTTAGAGCTACCATACCCTAGGCTTCATTAAGTAAACACTGCTAGAATATTTTCAAGTAAAGATTTCAATATTACTGTGTCCTGTCGATGAGCCTTATAATAATTAATATAGTACATGATGGCTACATCTGTTATTAGCTACACACAATTACTAACAGACAGTGCGAGTGTTACGAGTGTATTTATTGTATTAATTACTTCTGTAATATTTCCCAGCACTCAGATTGTATATTTTAAGTTTGTTTGATTGGAACCTGCTCATGATATACCTAAACGATGAAAGTTACCTTTCACTATTATGTATTAATTAAAATTTAGAATATTCCATAAAGACTATACTATTGATCGACATCACACGTGAAACTTTCCGGATGGCAGAGCGCCTTTTGCTAACCGATTGTGGTGCCATCGTGTGTACATTTTGGCAATATATGGAACAGAGCATAACAACGAGGATCAACGTGCATTTATTCTATATATTTATTTATTTGATTATATGTATTATGTTTTTATTTATTTATAATTCTATGGTGCGTAACATAATATTTACCCTTTTTACATGCGTATAAGCCCAATTAAGGATGCTCCGCCAGCAGCAGCTGCAACACACTGAAGAAGTGAAGGGTGCAATTTTTGTCCGCACCGTTCTTAGGGCATATGCCACACTCCAGAATTAAATGCTTAATGCCACACGTTGAAGTAGTAGCGGTGCAATTTTTGATTGCGACGAAGATGTAAGCATGCCACGCTTGAAAACTGCGCAAGCAAAAATTCACTATCCAGTCAAGATCCAGACCGCCAGCAACCAGCAGGCGTGTTCAGGTCAGTACTGGGGCCGCCGGTTTGGGACATGATTATTACCATTGAGATTTCATTTTCACTACTGAGATTTTTCAATTTTTATGCACTACTGAGAGTTTTTCAATTTTCACTACTGAGATTCGTTTTCATTTTTCACTACTGACGATTATTTCATTGTTGCACTACTGAGATTTATTCAGTTGTTCACTCTTTGAGCATTTTTTCATTTCACTACTTGAGATTTTCATTTTCATCTCTGCAGATATTTTCATTATTCAACTACTGAGACATTCATACCTAACACTGCTATCGATAGGTGGCCCGCTCGCAAATGTTGTGTACGTTGCTAACGTTACTGTTGAGCCTTTGGCAGTGTAGGTGTATTTCAATCGTTCAGCTTGCCGTTGTATATCATTCACCAGAATGTCTATTATTAATAAGCTAAAAATTAACTCTTGTCAAATCTCACTTATTGCTATATTTGACCCCGCAGAGGCTGAATGTGCTATCTCTTTATGCAAGAATTCTCCTCATCTACACCACTGGGTTGTGGATCATGAACACCACTTGGCTTTTTCTCAAGGCCTACCCTCGAGTATGTCAATCCACCCTAATTATCAAATGCTCAATGTCCCATGTCGTTTCTAGCCAACACCTGTGCGCGAAGGGTGTGCCTAAAGCCTTACAGTCGCCTCATTCCAATAGACATAATCTCATTATTCACTGGGAACAAACCTTGTTCTTGCGTGTGCAATGTGTGTTCGGTGTTTTTGGTAACCTGGCATAATAGTCACTGGCCCATACTGCTGACTATAGCGACAGCAGTTTTAATAACCTCATTCTACAGGTAGTGACAATAATCTATCATAATTTGAGCTCTCCATGCTAAGTGTCTGAAATCTGTGTATTGGACTACTGTTATTTTGCTACTGGTATTGCAGGTTAAATTCTGCTAATGTGCGATATTCTCAAGCTTTGTTTAGTTTAATCACATTAGACAATTAAAACGATTTTTTTCATTATGCTACTTTCTTAGCAGAAACTTTGTTTTTACTTTGCAAAAGTGTTGCTCATAAATAAATCGTGAGAACAATTTTAATGTGTAATAACAAATATCTGACTTTATTTTCGCACTAAGAATCAATACTCCCACATAAGAAGAGCTTGGAGAATATTCTAAAAGCTCACTACGAAGTTTTTATTCAGCGGCATCTATAGATTGTGGTCACAGTGCCACATGACGATATGGGCGCAATCGAAACAGTTTAATCACTGACAAGACGGCCACTCTGAACATGCATCAATCGTGACAGTAATTCATTCTGCCATCTATGAGAACTTCGGAGTAATGATTTGAACCAAGAGCCTTTTTACTTTGACCTATCAATTTTTGGTTTGCCACTTGTTGCGATCAGGATGCAAGATTGAG